TTTTTTTTTTTTTTTTTTTTTTGAGACAGGGTCTCACTATGTAGTTCAGGCTGGCCTTGAACTCACTATGCAGCCCAGGCTGGCCTGGTAGCATGTGCTACCTCACCCAGCTATATTTTCAGTTAATTTTTATATATGGTGTGAGGCAGGGGTTCAATTTCATTCTTTTGTGAGTGGTTATTGAGGTGTCCCACTACCTTTTTTGTGTGTGTTGGGAATTGAACTCAGGACCTTGCACTTGCCAGGCAGGCCAGGCGCTGTACTGCTGAGCTATATCCCCGGCCCCTACTGTTTGTTAAAGTGATGATTTTTTTCCCCCATTGAATGGTCTAGAAAACCTCTTTGAAAAAAGCAATTGGCCGTACATGTTTATGGCCTCTTCTTTTTCCTTTCTTTCAGCAGCCTGGACCCAACTTGCAGTCTTGTCTGTTTCCCAGCCTGCTGGGACTACACGTGTGTTCCACCACGCCCAGCAGGTGTTTATTTCTAAACCTTTAGTTTTATTTCAAGGGCCTATACATCTATCTTTATGCCAGTACCACACTGTTTTGGTTACTGTGGTCTGTAGCAGGCTTCCAAAGTGTAAGTGCTCTAACTTTTTTTCTCTTTCAATATTGCTCTGGTTCTTTTGGACCCTTTGAGTTCCATATCAATTAAAAGACTGACTTTACACCTGGACAGTTTGCTGCAGACCTGCAATCCCAGCTACTTGGCAGGCAGAGGCGGGCTGGGAGCCTGGGTAACTTCAGGAAACCTGGCCTCCAAATAGAACATAAAGCTGGGCATGTGTAATGCTTGATACATTGTGTCAACTAGAGAAGCTTAACTACCGGACTCAGCAGGGGGCCAGAGCCCTCACTTTGTGAATATCCTGAGCCTGTGCAAGCGGAGGGCAGGGAGACGGTGTGAGTGCTGCATCTGCCCTGAGGGGGGACAGGGTAGCCTGCTTACAGTATGAGGGAATGAGGCTTGCTCTCCCTACTTCGTGCTCTTGTTGCTTTGCTGTCTTCTGCCCCCTTGAACTGTTGCCCCTCTGCCATGTCACTCTGCCTTGGAGCCAGCTGATTATGGACTGAAACCTCCACAAACTGTGAGCTAAATAAACCTTTCCTTCCTTAATTTGGGGCATTGGGTATTTTGTTCCTGCAATGAGAAAAAAGTAACTAAAATAGCATGGTAGTTCACGCCTATAATCCCAGCATTCAGGAGGCTGAGGCAGGAGGATCTTCATGAGATCAAGACCAACCTGGATTACATAGGGAGTTCAAGGCTAACCTGAACTGTGTAGCGAGACCCTGTCTCAAAAAAAGCCACCACCCCCCTAATATATATATGGCTGGGGATGAGGCTCAGTGGTAGAACGTCCCTGGTTTCAGTCCCCAGTACCACCAAAACGACAACAAGGATCGGCTCTTCCCTTTCTGAAAAACAACAAAATGAAAACACAGGGGCCGGGTCCTTGAGCCTTGGCCTTGCGCAGGGACTGCTGTCTGCTTGTTGAAAGGCCCTGTGGCACTGTCCTTCACCTCCGGACCTCACACCTCGCAGGCGTCTCGGTCACAGTCAGGGACCTCGCACGTGCGCTTGTATGCGTGGCACCCGCAGTGCGGACCTGGCTTTGCCGCGTCCCTTCGAGGACCACCTAGACGTGCAGTGGGTGCGCCCGGAGGCGGACGTGAGCACCTTTGGTCCTTGCAATTTGCCCTGCGCTTTGACCTGGACCTGGGGTACTGATCTGAGGACTCAAATCCAATCTCAGAAGTCAGTCTTGGGTTGGTGCATTTTCCAGGCTCATGGCCCTGACCTCATTTCTGGAACTTGGCTGCAAACCTTGAGTGTTCCTGGACCTTGGCTGTCAAACTCGATCTTGGGTTTTACGTACAGTATTCGTTTGCTCGTGTCACTGTAACAAAGTGCCAGCGGCTGGGGGGGGTGCGGTGACAAAACAACTCGTGTCTCAGTGTCAGTCTGCTTCCGTTACTATCACATACAACGGGGCGTCAGCGCAGAATGAGGAAAGGTCGGACAGTTCAGCTCCCAACCGGCAGCCCCTTCCCGCAGGCTGTGGTGAGAGGCCGGCACGGCCGAGCAGGCCGGCTCACTTTCTGGCCAGGCAGAAGAGAGGACAGAAAGCAGTTTGGGCTCTCATGGTCCCCTGAAGCACACACACACACACACACACACCCCCCGTGACACGAAGACCTCCCACTGGCCCTGCCACTGCCCAGCAGCACCAGGCGGGGACCAGGATGGTAACACACGGGCCCTCTGGGGACATGCCAGACCCGGAGGGCTTCCCGGCAGTGCGGCCTTCCCTGGTGTCAGAGGCACTGCTGGGCGGCCTCTCGCTGGGAGGGCCTTCTCCCTGTCTGCCTGCGCTTCCCTTGGGGAAGGACACCGCTCATCTGCGTCAGGGGCTCACGCTGTCCAGGGTGACCCCATCTTACACACACCTGCAAACACACTTTCCAAAGAAGGTCGCATTCAGCTGCACTTGGGGTTAGGATTTCGATATACGATTTGGGGGCAGCGTAAGTGGATGTGAAGTGGTGTCTTCCAGACGCTGCACCGGGCTCTGGGCACGAAGCAGGAAGCGGGACCAGGCGCTTAGTCTGTGTGGTGACAGGAACACAGGGCCGATGTCAGGCCCAGACCTCGGCCTTTGGCAGGACATGCCCCTTGGACCCAGGCTTAGTCCTGGGTTTGGACCTTAGTACATCAGACTTCAGCTTCTGAGGCGTGTGACTCGGAAAGGGTCACATGCGACCCTGCAACTGGTTCTCGGATCTTAGAAGTGGAACTCAGTTTACTACTAGATTTTCAGCTGTGGCCATTTTTGTTTGAGACAGGGTCTTGGTGTCATTCAGGCTGGCCTTGAACTTGTGTTGACCCTCCTGTCTCAGCCTCCCGAATGCTGGGATTATAGGTGTGCCCCACCATGCCTACCTCAGTACTGGGTATTGAACCTGGATTCAAAACATGGATTTAATGTGGACCTTGGAATAATTGAAGGTTTAAAGACTGGACCTGGAATTGGGCCTCAGCTTGGATCTTGGGCCTCGGCAATGGCCTTGTGACCTTGGCAAGAGCGGCCCCCTGGGGGTGGGAGGAGTGTGGGATCTGAGGAAGTGGGGTGAGCCGGCTCTGAGAACGGGGTGAGCCATCGGGCAGGCACCGATGTGGGCCTGGCCGTGCGGAGACGAGGACCAAGACTCAGCCGAGAGGAGGAGGTGACAAACGTGTCCAAAGACAGCAGGCGCCACGCGGGTCCGAGTCCCGAGGAGGAAGGACGCAGAGGGGAAGGGTGGCTGCGGCGGAGGCTGACCACCACAGCGGCCGGGAGAGGGAGGCCAGCTACCCGGGGGGCGGCTGCCGGGAAGCGGCACCTCCTGTGGCATCATCGCGGGAGGAGATGAGCGCCCAGTGCCCAGCGGGGGCCTCAGAGTCCGGCAGAAGGCACCGGGCGCCAGGCCTTGCACGGCGAACACAGGCAGCAGTCCGACGCCGCTTTGGCCCTGGCGTTCGGGGACAGGCCTTGCACCAGGGGACCTCCCAACACGGGAGCGCAGTGACTCACCTCCGGGATCCATGCTGCCCTGTGTCCCCACCCACAGGGACTCAGGCTGGGCCACGAGACCTGCTTTGGACAGGAGACATTAGAGGCCGTGGCACAGAGCAAGCGGCGTACCCGGAATGGCGTCCGCCCTCCTGCAGTCCTGAATCAACAGTGCTGTCACTCAGCACAGGACAAAATTCCACGTGAGGCCCGGTGGACGCATTCACACGTGCATGCGCATGAGAACCGGCACAGCTGCCCGCTGTCCCACAGACGCAGGAAGAAAAATCAGTTTTAAGCAACTACATTTTTTTTGCTTTTGGATGGGTGAGACAGGGTCTTGCTATATAGCCCAGGCTGGCCTCGAACTCATGGCAATCTTCCTGCCTCAGCCTCCCACGTGCTGGGATGACAGGTGTGCCCCACCTCCCCTGTGGACACTGACTTTATTAAGGAAGATGGACCAGAAGGCGCTTCTGGAGTTGCTGTCTCTGGGCAAGTCCTTGAGGAAGAAGTAACTCTCTCTCAGCCAAAGAGAAGCCCTCCTTTTTAGGCACCAGGAATGTTGCAGTGAAGAGGTAGGTGAAGAACCAGGTCCCGGAGGGCGGGCCGAGACGAGCCAGACCCCCTGGGCGGTGGGGTGGCGCCAGGCAGGGATGACACCACCAGCCCAGGCTTCCTGCTCCGCCTCAGGCTGGTGTCGCTGCTGTTAGCACGCGTCGCTGCTGCTACCAGGCCTCCGGGGCTGGCCCGGGCCTGCTCCGGCCGCACGGTGGACGCCGCCCTCAGGACTGTAGCGCACAGGGCCGAGGCGCAGCCGGGGCTCCTCCTCCTCGTACCAGCGCCGCTCACTGAAGTCGGGGAAGAAGGCCGCGATCTCCCTGCTGGCCGACGCTGCGGAGTCTGGGGGAGGTGGAGGGTGTGCGGGTTGGGGAGGGAGGCACCGCGGGGCCAGGACCCGGCCTCCTCCCTGCCCCAGCTCTGGCCTGGGCCGGCTGGAGAAAGCCCAGGTCCCCGCCAGCAAGGTGGCTCTGGAGGCCCGAAACCTCGACGGAGGAACCTGGCTGTCGACCTTACTGTGCAGCCCTCCCTCCAAACCCAAGACCTTTTCTTTCTTTTTGTAGTACCGGGAGTTGAACCCAGGGCCTCTGCACTGAGCTGTATCTCCAATTCTTACTTTATTTTTTTAATTTTGAGACAGGGTCTCACAATGTTAGTAAGTCACTCAGGATGGGCTCAAATCCTCCTGCCTCAGCCTCCCAGAGTGCTAGGATCACAGGCCTGCGCCACCTCACCCGGCTCCATCCCTCGTCCGGCTGCTGGAGGAAGACTGACCTGAGCCGTGTGTGGTGTTTCGGGTGTCAGTGAGCCCCAAACTCCCACGGATGGAGTCCGGGGCTGTGTGCTGAGCTCGAAACACTCTGGTGGGTCCCATCAGTGTCCTCCAGAGCTGGATGGCGTCCTTGTGCGCAAGGATGTAGGCCCGGATGGGCCCGCTGCGAGGAAGAGGAGCACGTTAGGGGCCGGCCGCCGGCCTGGGACAGCGGGCCCTGTGTGTCTGTGTCCCAGAGCAGGTGACAGAGGGCCGCCGCTGGTGCAAACAGGGGCCAGAGATCATCAGGGGCGCTAGGCAACGCTCTGGTACACTCTTCTACAGTCACTGGTACCGCAACCACAACAGGGGCCCCTGGCAGCCGGGTCAGAGCCTGGGCCACGTTTCTTCAGACTCGGCACCGATCGGGACCACACCGAGCGGAGAGGACAGACGATCCCCCAAAGTGAGGAGTACCTGGCCATGAACTCCACCAGGCGCTGGTAGAAGAAACGCCCTGCAAAGGAAGAGGACCTCATCAGACAGTGCTACTCCCCGGCTGGAGCAGCAAACACCGCTTCAGAGGGAACAGTGGGGACCCGCAGCCGGACACCCCTGGGTCTCCAGCCACGCTCTGACGCGGGCAACCTGAGCAGTTCTGGCTGAGTCACTACTCAGATCATGAACTAAGTCACCAACCTCCCTCACTGGGTTTCCTGACAGGTACAGGCGGTGCCAGCTCCTGCCTCGAAGGTCGGTGGGAGAATGAAGGAAATAACGGCACCAGGGAAAGGTCTGACGGAGCAGACCTTCACGGTGTGCACTGCTGGACCAAAAATGAAGCTTCGGGTTGGGACTGAGACCCAACCTTCCCAGGAAAAGAAAATACTGACGCTCACGCAAAGTTCGGTCTAAACCGAGACTCTGGAGCCGGGCTCTGGCCCTCACAGCCGGGTCCTACCCTCGTGCTCCCGGTAGAAGCTGCGGCAGTCCTCCCTCCTCCAGAGCAGCTCCCGCGAGCGCACGATCAGGAACTTGTGGCTCAGGATCTGCTGGTGAATGGCCTGGCGGACAGCACGGGAGGCAGAGTCAGCCGAGGCCCCCTCGGGGCACAGCTGGAGGAGGGGCCCGCTGCACGTCAGGGGGACAGCGGGGGTCCCAGCCCTCACTCACAGCATGTGCGAACCTCGGGGAGAGGTGACAGGGGGGCTACTCATGCCCCTTGAGCCCACAGGATCCAGCACTCAGGCCACCACAGAAGTCTGAGGGGGTCCCGCCTGGAGCTCCTCTTTCTCTTCCAACCGCCACACTTGATCAATCAGAAAAGCAGTAGGAGCCGTGCATGCTGGTGTACCCAGCACTCGGGAGGCTGAGGCAGGAGGATCGCTGTGAGTTCGAGGCCAGCCTGGGCTACAAAGTGAGTTCAAGGTAGCCTGAACTGCATAGCGAGACCTTGCCTCAAAAAAAACCACTGTATGCACATACCACACCGGCCAGAGGCGCAACCACTTTAATGCAGCATCCAAGCCTGCCTTTCCCTGCCCTTTGCTTCCTATTCTCTGGATCCAGCAAGCCTGGACTCCTGTACCTGAAACCCACCTGCCTCAGCCTCTCCTTCCACTGCCTGCGTCTTGCCCCGCCCAGCCCACCATTACAGACCAGACCCTTCTGCTCTCCTCTGTGCCATACTGGGCACTCAGAAATTTACCAACCCACAGCAGGCAGGGCCTACAACGGCCCTTCCCACTCTGTCTCTGTCAGAAACATTGCTTTCTTCTTTTCTCTTTTTTGAGACAGGGTCTCACTATACAGGGCACAGGCTGGCCTTGAACTCACTATGTAGCCTCTTTTAAAATTTTTGGTGATCCTCCTGCCTCAGCCTCCCAGTGCCACCACGCCTGGCTTCATTTCCTGAGTATTAGTGTTCACTGAGGTTCTGTCATTCTGCCCTCCTCTTGTCTAATTCAATGTCAATGTCCAGTCCACCCCAGTGTGGCTCATTCTCATCATTTCATGCGCCACGAAGGACCTCCAAGCATTCATCAACAGCCCTGCTTTCCCACCCTGAGGCCCAGGACTGGGAATGGTACTGTACGATCACGTGACATCGCATATCTAACAGCAGGGACTCCGCAGATGCAAAGAAGGCCCCTAATCAGCTGGCTGTGATCGGAAGGGAGCTTAGGCAGGTGAGGCTCATGAATCCGGTGACCCTTTCTCCTGCACGCACCCCCTGGCTGGGGACAGAGCATGAGGTCTCGGTGCGCTGTCTCCGTCGGGAGGACAGAGTGAGCTATGTGATGATGAGCGTGCAAGGTCTCCAGGGACCGTGTGCAAGGCCTACCCGAGCCGAGGCCAGCAAGCGGATGGGGACTGGGCCCTGTCACCACAGGAAGTGGCCCAAACCGCAGCCGATGGGCGCCCAAGCTGGAGGTGGATTCCTCCCCAGACACGGCAGACAGGAGCCTGGGGAGTGGCCTGGCGCTTGCAGCAGTGCACTGGCCTTTACAAACTCTACCAGGTCCTTTCTTAGATCTGCGATCCGCTCAGGTCTCCAAGGGACTTCCGGTCTCCCAGGGCCAGAGTCCACGCCCGCTCGGCTGTGGAGCGGCCCCGGAAGTGCTGTCGGTCACCAGTGGACCTGATTAGCCATGCCCAGGGCCGACCTTGGAGGCTGGGCCGGGCCTTACCTCCAGAATCAGTGGGTGGGCCACCGCATCCGGCTTGATCAGGGCCAGGGTGAGCTGGAGCACCTGGGGCCTTCGCAGTGCGGAGGTCATGTCACCCCTGCCACCAGAGGAGAGTGGGGTTAGGGACCCACAGAGCCACTTGGAAGCCGAGCAGCTGTGCAAGGCAGACAGCACTCCCTCCCCGCCGCCCCGCCTGCCATGCACACGGCATAGGGCACCTCACAGCTACAGCCAAGGGGGCCCCGAGGGTGTTTCCTGGGATTGCAGCGAGGAGCAGGGTCAGGTTGGTGCCACTGTAGGGCCATAAGCGTTGACCGCTCAAGCAAAATTTAAGTTTAAACAGCGAGGTGTGGTAACACACATCTGTGATTCTGGGAGGCTGAGGCAGGAAGATCACTGAGTTTGAGGCCAGCCTGGGCTACACAGCAAGATGGCTGGCCACAAGATCTAGTCTTTACTCCTGCAGAGGTGATCAATTTTTCACATGTGAATAGTTTCCTAGTTGGAAGAGACTTCAAATTCTTAGTTTAGCCATGACTGCATGGCTTAGTCTGGTTTACCTCAAAAAACCAAACCAAATCAAACCAAACCAAACCCCCAAATAAGCAGGACGCCAGTTCATCTGCTGGATCCACGCCATCGCTGATCTAAGATTTTGGATGGGGCAGGATCCCCCTTGCCCAGATTGAAGCTGTCAGTATACTCAGCTGTCCTCAGGGGCCAGGCCCGAAGATTCCGGTCAGGGCCGGGTCAGGCCCTATTCCGTGTGTAGCAGCAGAAAAAGTGCCTGGTACCCTGGAGCTCAACCAGTTTCACTGACCAGCGGAATGATATACCATATAATCTTCTAGTCTGTCCTCCTGGCGTCTAACAAGGTGTAACAGCGCAATAAATACTCATGGGAAGATGTAGCAAACATAAAATTATCCTATAAACTATATTAGGGTTTTTTAAAAAATGGAACCAGTGATTGAACCCAAGAGTTTTTTTTCATTGAGCTACATCCCAGCCCTTAAAAAATTAAAAAAAAATTTTTTTGAGGCAGTGTCTCCCTAAATTGTTTAAATTGCCCAGGCTGAGCTCAAACTTGCAATCCTCCTGCCCGTCTGCCTCCCAGCCCGCTAGGATTACAGGCATGCGCGACCATGCAGTCATGGCTGAACTAAAAATCTGAGCTCTTTCCAACTCTGAAGCTCTATTCACAATGCGAATTAATTGATCGCCTCTGCGGGAGTACAGACTGGGTCTCACGGTCTGCCGTGGTGGCCTGTAAGCCCAGCATGTGGGAGGCTGAGGCAGGAGGATCGCTGTGAGCTCGAGGCCAGCCTGGGCTACATAGTGAGTTCTAGGCCAGCCTGAACTGCGTAGCGAGACCCCGACTTGCCCGCGCCGTCCCCAGGGGCCACCCCCCGGGGCCCCAAGACCCCCCGCTAGGCGAGGACTCGGGCCCTTCCGCTCCACCTGCGGCCACGCCTGCACGCCCAGGCTCCCGCCCCGCCCCGACTCCTTCTCCAGGCCTTAGCTGCGTGACGCCCGACCCCGGTATCCCGGGACAAAGCCCGCGGGTCCCACGTTCCGGGTTACTACTACGTCTCCGGGCCAACAGGCACCGCGCTGGTCAGCCTGCACGGCCTGTAGGGGTCCTTCAGGCGTTCGGTCGGGCAGCCCTTCAAAGGGGCCTCTCACGGTTGCCTAGCAATTATGCCCCCCCCGCCCCCCCCCCGCCCAAACCGGAAAAGGCGTGGGTTTGCTGCCAGTTGGCTGCGGATCCGATCAGGGCCAGGCTCTGTAGGGTGCGGATGGGCTCTCCTGGCGTCGGGGTGCGGATGGGGTACCTGAGGCAGTCTTGCGTAGGAGATGAGAAGTCGAGGGGCCCTCTGGTATGGAGTGTGATTCATGGATACTATGGTGACTTTAGGAACGGGGAGGGGTCCGTTGTAACAGGTGTGACCAGTAAGCTGGTCACAGGTTAGGGGTGATGAAAGTGTTTTCTGGCCGGGCGTGGTGGCGCACGCCTGTAATCCCAGCACTCGGGAGGCTGAGGCAGGAGGATCGCTGTGAGTTGGAGGCCAGCCTGGGATATATAGCGAGTTCAAGGCCAGCCTGAACTGCATAGCGAGACCCTGTCTCAAAACAAAACAAAATGCTATGTGTGATGGTATTATAGGAAGTAAAATATAGAAATTCAAAATAACCTTTGAAGATCTAAACAGAAATAGACAATGTGAACTGCTGGGCATGTGCACACCTGTAATCCCAGCACATGGGAAGCTGAGACAGGAGGATCCCTGTTGAGGGATCGAGTTGGAGGCCAGCCTGGCCTCTATAGTGAGTTTAAGGCCAGCATGAATTGCATAGAGAGACCTTGTCTCAAGAAACAACAACGAAATACTCCAGCTCCAGTAGAAGGTTGGGACTCCGGGGGCAGGGGGAGGGGTGACTGACTTTGGGGAGAGCTCTTAGCCTGCACTCAGTCCTGTGCACACACATACACAGCTGTATGTCTGTTCTAGAGATCTATATATTCACTCTAGGGTCCCTGCTTTACTACAGTAGATGCCCACACATCCCTCTACTAACTCCAAGCAAACCTCCTAGGAAGCCCCTCCGAACCAGCCACTGCTCATCCCAGAGAAAAGGCCCGGATGTCGAGGACAGATAAGCAAACAGGTACAAAAAAGTTCCCCAACGCCCAGCAAAAGAAATGCTCCAGTAGGAAAGGGCCCAGCCTAACCAAGGACAGGCCGGGGAGGCACTGGGTGAGGGCGGGTTCCAGGTAGGGGCAGGGGTCCCTTTCGGAGGGTCAGAGGTCTGTAGATAGGGGAAAAAATAGAACAGAGGCCTCGTTAGGTCTTGGAGCTAGTCCTGACCAGAAGGGGTTAAAAGCAAACTTCATCAGAAGAATTGCCCAGGGGAGCAGGTCAAGGGTGGGGTAGAGAAAAGGCAAGAAGTCAGCTGAGGGGCGGCAGCGGTGGCCTCGGGGCTTGCACAGGCAGGACGCAGGGCCAAGCGCAAACGCGGACACCGCGCCCCGCCCGCGCCAGGGTGCGGGAGCAGGGGCGGGGCTGGCCGGCGGCGCAGGGATTCGCCCTGGGCTCGCTCTGTAGTCCTCTCCCGAGTCGGCGCATCGCGCATCGCGCACCCGCAGCTGCAGCAGCGTCCTCTGCCCTGCCCGGCTCTAGGCCCGCTAGGAGGGACGCACCCCCTTGCCCACCCGCTGCCCACCCCAAAGACAAGGCCCTGACAAGTAGGTCAAGGACAAGCACACAGACGGACAGAAGCTGCGCGCAGACCCCCGGAAGGGACCTCGTTAGGCAGAGCCGCGGGAAGGGGGGCCCATTCCCGTGGGGGAGCCCCGAGCTTCAGCCAGGGGCAAAGGGCCAGGGTCCCCCATCCTCCGGAGTCCCGCCCTGGTCCCTTCTCTGTCGTCTTTACAGATAAAGCGCCTTCCTCCCCGTAAGCTTTGTCCCTCTGACGTATCATCGCGGCTGAGCTCCTGATCCGGGGGCTGCGGGACAGCGGAGCCGCGGGGCTCGTCCCACGAACGCGCCGTCCTTTGGTCCCCCGCCCCGGGACCAGAGGTGACGCTGCCACCCTGTAAGCGAGGCCAGGGACAAGGGCCCGCGGTCCCGCCCTTTCCAAAGCCCCTTCCCCTGGGGTGGGGCAGCTTCCTGTCCCCTTCTCCCTCCTTTCCCGCCCTTCAGTTCATTACGGCGCTTAGTTTAGGGCCCCGGTTCGCCGCGACAAAAGCTACGCGTTCGCCACCAGGCTTTCTGCTGAGACAGTTTACTGAAGAAGAAACCCCGGCGCCGGATCCGCGCGGTTGCCCCCAGCACCAGCGGCCGCCTCTTGTGGAGCAGACGCAGGCTGCGCCTGGCCCTCGGGACCCGGGACCCGGGAACTTTCGGGCTCTTCCTGCGAGGTTCGGGCGGTTTCCTGCAGGAGAAGCGTCCGCTGAGAGAGGAAGCGCGGGGGTGTTCTCCTGTGAAGGTGGCTCCAGACATCAGGGGCCACGGGGGAGGGAGCAGGGGCAGAGGCAGGAGGCGGGGTGGGGTGCCGAGGGCCCCGGGGAAAGAAGAGGCCTGGGGGACCAGGCCAGCGGCGGAGGCACGAGGGGCTGCTGAGGCCCAGGCCAGAATCGGGTGCCAGGCCCCAGCCTCTGCACAGGACTGGTTCCAGGGCCTCTGCGCCTCTGCTTCTGTAGCCAGGAGGCCACAATGCCCCCGGGGGGCCGGGGGGACCGGGCAGGTGACACAGGCAGGGCACCCGGAGCAGCCCCCGGCAGTCCTTGTTGCTCTCCTGAGACTCGGCCTGGTCTTCGCTTTGCGATCTTGTCAAAACCAGAGTTTCAATGCTGCTTTGGTGCCAGGCCCTGGGGAGAAGCCCTTACCCACCCACCCACCCACCCATTCATTCATTCATTCATTCATTCACTTTCTCTTTACATGAATTCAATGGTTTGTGTTGTTGGTTTCTTGTTTTTTATTGTCTGTTTTGGTACTGGAGATTGAACCCAGGGCCTTTGCACTGAGCTACATCCCAGGACCTTTTCTATTTCATTTTGAGACAGGGCTTTGCTAAGTCACTAACTTGCCAACATTGGGCTCAAACTTGTGATCTTCCTGCCTCAGCCTGCTGGGACCACAGATGTGAGCCAACAGTCCCAGCTTTAGGGGTTTTTTTTGCTTGTTTGTTTGAGTCAGGGTCTCACAACGCAGCACGGGTTGCCCTTGAACTCATTTTACAGCCCGGTCTGCTAGGACTTCCAGCAATCCCCCTGCCTCAGTCTCTCCGGGGCTGGGATCACAGGTGTGCGGCACCATGGCTGGCTAACAGGAGATGGGGCGCAGCTCAGATTGGCTGGAAAGGAGGTGCAGTGGGGTCCTAGAATCTACCCACTGCCGCCTCTCAGTGCTGTGTAGAAGATCTCCCGCAGGTGTGGATGATATGAGAGGACGGAGATCCGTCCTCAGGGAGTACTTCTTTTTCCTTCTTTCATCTGGCCCAAGTTCACTCTGCAGAGCCAGTTTCTCCCTTACCCTTCTTCACTTGTACTTTTTCAAATAAACGTCACTATTTTTGTTTGTCTCATTCACTGTTTGAGGTTAGAAAACCTAGAAACCAAGAGGTGAGCACCCCAAAAGCCTGGTAGTGGGCTTTTTTTGTGTGTAGTGGGGACTGAAACCAGGGTCTCTGCTCTGAGCTGCATCCACAGCCTTTTAAAAAAATTACTGTTTTTAAAAAATTTTGAGATAGGATCTTGCTCAACTGTTCAGTTGCCCAGGCTGGATTTGGAACTTGCAGTTCTCCTGCCTCAGCCTCCCAGAGTGTTGGATCACAGGCCTGCGTTACCACTTTGAGGTTGGTCTACATTCTTAACCTCTATAAATCCTTGGCTTCAGAATTTCTTGTATCACTTTATAAAAACAACATAGATTTACCAATAGTTTGCTGGGCATGGTGGTGCACGCCAGTAATCCTAGCACTGTGGAGGCTGAGGCAGGAGGATCGCCACAAGTTTTAGGCCAGCCTGGGCTACACAGTGAGTTTAAGGCCAGCCTGAGGTACATAGCAAGACCCTGTCTCCAAAAAAACCCAAAATTGCCAACAATTTCATTGGTGCCTTGGTAGAAAGGTAGAACTGTACTCTAGTAAAATTTGGGGGTGATCCCCTCTACTTAATTTTCCATATTTATCGTGTAGTTAATGTTTGCATTTGAAATAAATGAGTAAAATGCATCTTTGTCTTATACAAACTGTTGAGGTCCCAACACAATACTGTAGAGAAGTCTTCCCCTTTTTATGTATGTATGTATGTATATATGTACGTATTTTTTTTGTCTTTTTGAGACAGGGTCTCACCATGAGTTCAGGTTGCTTTTGAACTCATTTTATGGCCCAGGCTGGTGTCAGACTCACAACAATCCTCCTGCCTCAGTGCTGGGATTATAGGTGTGCACCACCATACCTAACCTGGCCTTTTTTTGGCGGGGGAGAAAATTGGAAAAAAAAAAAAAAAAAAAAAAGATAACTGGAAGCCGTAGGGAGGTGAAGGGGAAGTGAGAAGAATGATGTGTTAAGACCACGTACCAACTCCCCATGAAGCTGGGTGAAGTGGCGCATGCCTGTCATCCCAGGGAGGATGAGGCAGGAGGAATGCTAGGCGTTCCAGGCCAGCCTGGCCTACACAGCGGGACCTCATCTTAAAACAGGAAACCAATGAAGGGACCACTGTGTGCTGCCGATGCGTACTAATGAACGTTACATAGCCAGCTTCTGCCCTCGGACAGCTCCTCCATCTCCGCGGCTGTGCAGTGTCCCCGTCCCGTCCCCCCCGCCCACGTCCCTCGGAGCCCTCTCCCCACCAACGCATCCTTGCTTCAGCCCGGTCAGCCTTGCTGCACTGTGATGCCGCCCTGTGGAACCAGACAGCCGGGAGCACACTGACGGGGCTGTGGATTTCGGGGCGGCCCTGGTGGAAGAGGGGTAGCTCCGTAGGGCTTGCTGCGAATCAGCTCAGCTTGGCAGGATCTGACCCAGGTGGACATCACCCGAGGTCTCTGCACAGTGACCGAGCTGAAGCACACAATGTCCGGAGGACTTCTCTTCCTGGGACGGGCAGGGCACTCCAGTGGACTGCACAGGGGTGGGTGATTGTGCGGTCTAAGTTACATGGGGCCGGGCGTGGTGCTGCACGCCCGGCATCCCAGCACTGAGGCTGAGGAGGAGGAAGCTGAGGCAGGAGGAACACCGTGAGTTAGACATCCTGGCCACATAGCGAGACCCTGTCTCAAAAAACCATAACCATAACCAAAACCAAAACCAAAATCAAAAAAGAATAAACCAAACCCTCCCCCCCAAATTCACATGGGGCTTGTGAGCTTGTCATGGAGATGGTGTCAGAAATATTGTCATAAGATTACTACAAATTACAGAACTGTCCTATTTTACCTGTTTTCTCGTGTCCGATGACTTGTCCCAGTCCTGCTGCCGCTCCCTGTCCAGCGAGCGTGAGGGCACCGGCTGCGTTCTCGCTTTGGGCCCAGCACCCTAAGTTCAAGGACACAAACAACTACACCTGGTTCTCCATGTGGATTGGGGTCTCCTGTCCCTCTCAGGCTTTGGGGGCAGCAGGTGAGGGACAGGCTAAGAATGTCCCTGCTGCTGAGTGACCGGGCCAAAAGACAATCTCCCTAGATGTTACTTTTGAGGTGGTTGGGAAATTCCGGACAGGAAGTAGGCATTAGAGCATGACAAGAGCTAAGCAGGTGTAATAGTGGCAATGTGGGGTGTGGTGGCACACTCATTTGGGAGGCTGAGGCAGGAGGATCACCAGGAGGTCAAGACCAGCCTGAACTACATAGCGAGACCTTGCTAAAAAGCAAAACAAAACAAAACGAAAAGTGGGAAAAACTTCACAAATGTTGACTATATCATTATGTTACTATCTTGACTTTTATGTATGCTGGAAATTTTTCATAATGAAACATTTAGTCATCAACAGCAATGAGCTCTTAACTGTATCTGGTTTACTACTAAAAATAAAAGTAAAGTGACTTTACTTACACATGGTCCATCATGCAGTTTAGTTATGTTCAACCCTTCATATCTGAAAGAAATGATATTTGGACATGATTACTTTTTTGTTTTGGTACTCGGAGTCAAATTCAGGACCCTGTGGTTGCCCGGCAGGCACTGTGCCTTTGAGCTATATCCCTGGTCCCGAAATGATTACTTTTGGACTATAATATATCATACATTATGACTAAATTTTACTTACTTTTTTTTTTTTTTTGTCTTTTTGAGACAGGGTCTCGCTATGCAGTTCAGGCTGGCCTTAAGCTCACTTTGTAGCC